GCAACCTCAAACTCCTGGGCTCAAGCAATCCTACTGTCTCAGCCTCCCAAGTAGCTGGGACTACAGGCATGCGCCACCATGCCTGGCTAATTTTTTCTGCATATATTCTCGAACTCCTGAGCTCAGAACGATCCGCCCGCCTCAGCCTCCCAGAGTGCTAGGATTACAGGCGTGAGCCACCGCGCCCGGCCAAAAGTGCTTTATAAATGGTGAACCTCCTACAAAAGGGCCCATTACTGTATGCTAGGCCAGACACTTAAACACATGCTGACTGGAGGAACCTGAGGGAGTGGTGTAATAATCTATCTGGAAGTTTATCATTTCCTTCTGCAAGACTGGGAAGTTTTTCCACAGGAGGTGGCTCTGAGTTGTGCTTTGAAAAAGGGGAAGGGTGGATCCTGGTTTAAGAAGTAAAAGCAGCTATTTTGATAACAATAAGAATGGTATAGACTATGGCTAAACAAGAAGAGGGGATAGGAACAAAAGAAACTTGGCTAGAAGCCAACAGATGGACTAAAAAAATAAGCAAGGGAAATAAGGCAAAGAGAACGACTACTATCATACATTCATACACTTCATTTTTACTTGTTGAAACACTTCCACATAAATGATTTCATATGATTTTCATAATAAACCTGTAAAATAAATAAGACAGTTCAGGAAGCAATTATTACACAGATTGCTTGTAGCTTTCAGGGATCAGGAAACTGAACCAAAATTTGGCTGTGGATTTATTTATTTATTTTTGGGTCGGGGTGGGGGTAGAGATGGGTTCTCACTATGCTGCTCAGGCTGCTCTGGAACCCCTGGCTTCAAGCAATCCTTCCACCTCAGCCTCCCAAAGGCTGGGATTATAGGCTTGAGCCATTATGCCCAGCCAGGATTTATTGTTTTACAATTAATGGCAGAATAAAGACTGAGTGACTTCTTTGGCTCTCTGAGCCTTTGGCTGGTCCCAAAGATAGTTCATTGCCCAATATCTTCTATCTAGACAGCTGAGGTAGACAGCACTGGAATCCCATAGTTTACAGTTGGGGAATCAAGTAGTAGAAGCCAAAGGCTCAAAGAATAACCTAAGTGCCAACATTCACAATGGACAGAAAAAAATGACAGGCTGCACTACCACCTATACTATTTTTTTTTTTTTTTTTGAGACAGAGTCTCACTCTTTTGCCCGGGCTAGAGTGAGTGCCGTGGCATCAGCCTAGCTCACAGCAACCTCAAACTCCTGGACTCAAGTGATCCTTCTGCCTCAGCCTCCCGAGTAGCTGGGATTACAGGCATGTGCCACCATGCCCGGCTAATTTTTTCTATATATTTTTAGTTGTCCGATTAATTTCTTTCTATTTTTAGTAGAGACGGGGTCTTGCTCTTGCTCAGGGTGGTTTCGAACTCCTGAGCTCAAACAATCCGCCCACCTCGGCCTCCCAGAGTGCTAGGATTACAGGCGTGAGCCACCGCGCCCGGCCTCCACCTATACTATTAATATATAAAGGAATTGAAACAGCAACACTCCTGTCTTTTAGTAGCTCATACACAAGAGGGACACCATCCCTTTGCAAAGTCATAGAAAAGGGCACGGGCATTTAGATGAACAAATAATGTGTATAATATGAACGCAGCATGCAAAAGTGGACACGTGCAATTATTTAATAGCTGTGGGAGTCAAGGAGCCAGAGCTGGAGGATGGGAAGTTTGACTGGAACTGGGAAATCTGGGAGGGGAAGGGTCTTTGGAAGGAAGACAAGTTCAGCCTTTGACGTGGTTAGTGTGATGTGGCAGGGGGACAATCCATGGGAAGTAAATAGCAGGAAATATGGGTTAGGATTTTGAGAGAGCAAGAGAAAACACAGAGCACTGACAACTAACATCATCAGCAATCTCCGAGACCTCATGGAACACTGTTGGAGGGAGGGGGTCTGGCACCTGGACAGCACTCCTCGATGACTTCATCAGCCTCAGAAACCACAGGAAACCAGCTTTGTCGCCCTAAAGTGAATGTCTTTTAACCTCTGGACTTCATCTGGCAAAGACTGGAGTTAAGAGCAATGTGAAGCATCGGGCATCTGAGCCTCATGTCTTTCCTCTCTTAAACTCCTTTGCCTTTCATGAGCATCATGACCTGTATTTTATTTGGCTTTAACATTTTGTTATCCACTTATGTTTTTGTCTAACATCCTTCTGTTCTGTGGGTCTGTATTTATGCAGTTACTTTTGTACAAGTGCATTGCTCTGGAAAATTAGGGGACTTTTAATGGTTGTGATTAATAATGACGCTGGAGAAGAAACATAAGTGAAGCTAACTCTGGGTAGCCAATTCCACTTCGTTTTGCAACCTCTTCCCCTTTTTGCATGCGTGTGACAAAATTCTAAGGTGAAGGAGTTGTGGAGAGGAGTGGGAAGTGTTCTGGGATTCTTTCATTATCTTCCTCTCTAGCACAGCACGAAGATCAAATCACTGTCAACTCACTCAAGAAATGTGAGAACTAAAGCCTATAAATCACCCACACAATACACTACTTGGAATATTATTTCCTTACTAGTTACATAATTTATTGTAATATATCCTCTTCTTTTCCCAGACCTGTCAAATCTCTGCTAAATCAGTACTGGCTAAATTCTGTGTTAAACGACCTAGGTTCAAGATGGGCAAATTATGACCTCGGGCTACACTCTTCCTTCTTGCCTGGCGGCTGGGAAGTCCCTTAAACTCTGTGCCTTTCCACCAGACTGGCCTTGAAGGCGGGTGGCTCTCTATGGCTCTCTGCAGAGAGGCAACATTGGCTTTCAAAAATGCCAAAGCTGGATCGTCCGAAAGGTATACAAAAGGTAATTGTACTGTTTACAAGCCATCTTTTAGCCTCAAAACGTGGTGAAACATTTCCAGATCCCTTTTCTTGAATTAGTTCAGCAACCCCCTCTTTCGTTAGGTTCTGCGCTGCGGCTAAGATCTTCAGATGAAAGGTGCTCTGGAGACTCCCACCTCCCAGACACTCACGGCGCGGACATTCTTGATTAAGTGCTGCCTCCTGGCGGCGGCTCGATTGCCCGACATCTTCCAGGCCTGGAGGAGACCACTGTCCTTAATTTGGAATTTCGAAGCTGACGCAACAGCTCCACCAGGGGGGCGGGGGAGTCGGGGTACCGTTGTGCAAGAGACAGCCTTCCGGAAGACCCCTCCCCCGGCTCCAAGCAGGCGCCGCCCCTCCCCTACCCCCCCCCGACCCCCGCAAGGGGCTTCCCAGGGTAGGGGCCCTGCGGAGCTCCGGCCGAGTGTCTGCCGGCTGGAGGCAGGTTGCCAGGGTTTGGGGCTCTCGCCCAGACCCCCGTCTGGCCGTCTGCTTGAGCTGGATTGGGAGGGAGGGAAGAGGAAGCTGAGCATTCCTAGGACGAAGGACTAGTCTCTTAAGGGTATCCGCGGTCATTTTCATTTGCCCCGGGCAGTGAAGCTGTGCCGGAGCGAGGAGAGGGCAGGGGAGCGGGCTTCGAGGCCTCTTGGTTCTCGGACCTTTGCTCCCTTCGCCTACACCCACCAGAGCCCCCTCTTCTAGCGCTTCCTAGAGTCGGGGAAGGGCGGGGGCTGCTTGGGCAGGTGGAGGGAACGAAAGGGACGCCCAGTGGGATGAGGTCCTGGTCCCCAAGGCAGAGCCCGGGTCGACCCCCGCAGCCAGACCTGGACATCAGGGGCGACCCAGCTCTTCAAAGGGGCACTGAGGGCGGACGGTGGGTGGTCGGGGCTCGGGAAGGAAGGCGAGCGCAAGGGGCCGCGGACACGGAACCCGGGGCCTAAGGGCAAGGGAGAAATAAAGGCAAACAGCGGGGGCCCACAGAAAGCCTGAGTGGGTGGGTGGGAGGGAATG